AACAAACTAAACAGAGATAAAATAAGAACATAGATAGTGATTATCGACTAACCTCAGGACATTAGACGAACGGCAGGAGTGGTGTAGACTGCGTCCGACCTAAGTGGAAGAGGAGATGGCAAAGGAGAGGCTGAGAGGATGAGAGATGAGATGGTAGATCGGATGAATTGGACCGGATCGAACACTTTGGTCTAATAACTTAAGAATGTTTTGGACCCATTTGGAAAAAATGATTAATAGTAAAAGTTGATAGTGTTTGAGAAAAAGTGATTTTGAAAAGTAAAAGTTGGTAGTGTTTGTTAAAATAAGTGATTTTGGTGTAATAGAAAGGGAAAAACACTTTTCAAGTTTTCATACGAAAGCCGAGAAAAGTAAAAATTGGCGGTGTTTGGTGAATAAGCGCTTTTTAAGTCAAAATGCGAGAAGTGCTTTTTTAAGCTATTGCAAATCAACCCTAAATCATTTAATTTGGCAGATTGTATACGGATACAGTAGTACACACATCACAGCCTATAACGTACCACCGGGTGTATGGTGATCACCATACACCCGGCGGTGTCATTTTAACAATTTAAGCGAAAAATCGCGGCTATCGTTAAATGAGTATTAGTGTACACTGAATGAGCAACTGACCTATTTTATTCAGTATTAGAAGCCTAACAATAAGCATCGATGCTTCATATTTTCTAATTTACTTTCTGCTTCTTGTTTTTTCTTTTATAAAAAATTATTAAATTATATCTACAATTTACTCTATGAATTTTGATATGTGAATCTAATATAATATGATACTTTTGAAATATATGTTGGTATGACATTTAAAATGAGCAGAACATCAGTACCAAATGAGCATACATAAATTACAAAGTGCACATTGATATGAAAATTGTAAGGTTTGTTGATTGAACATCACGAAATTTTTATTGAGCATCAAACATCCGTTGTTGAAGTGAAAATCATGAGTTCTATTGAATGAACATTAATGTATTTTTAATGAGCATCGAAAGTGTATACTCAAAAAATGGGGTAAATGCGTGCGCATTTACCCCATAACCCGCCTCTACCCCATTTTTTGAAGAGATGTATGTATCCCACTGTCATCATATTACTAACATCAGTATACACCGTTTCCTCAACTCTGAGTTCCCTACTTGCACACCATCTTGTATGTCTCATCAACTCTCCGTTTTCTTGGTTTCTTATAGCTCGGTGCACTAATAAATCAATCTCCATGACTTCAGTAAAGTGAATCAGCATAGTGAACCTGCAAAGTGAAACAACTCATACAAACAAGCCAACCATCTATGGCGCTTAAAACTCTACCTAACGCCTCTCACCTTGGTCGATCCCCCCAAATCGTTGAGTCACCTACCACTCCGAGTGAAAAATAACTGAAAAGAATAACATCAAACCCAACCACACCTCTGCCTCAAACACCTTAATTGATGCCAAATGCCTTGCTCCATGGAACAATTTGAGCCAAACAAGTTAGATGCTTGACCATCCTTCAAGACAACACGCCAAGCTCCACACTTGACCCATGTCACCGCCTCTTCAAAACCCTCATTCAATCCCTGAGTAACACATAGATTCTTGCATTGAAGTTGAATCATGTTGTTGCCTTCTCGATTCCTGTTTTGACGAACACTGAAGATTATCATGCTCATCACTGCGGACTAAGGTGACCGGTGAATTTTCAACAATCTCAAGAAAGTAGTATGTCGTCAGAATAGCGTGCCATGAACTCATTCCCATCATTGACACCACCGTAGGGAAAACTTCTGCGGTCTCCCAATCCACTGCCCACGACATATTCACGCAGCTCCACAAAATGAAACTTGATGTGCAACCCGTTCATGCGAAGCCCTTTCCCGTTATTTCCAAGATAAGAGTGTTATCGGGGGCAAATTTCAAGAGATGACGAGAACGTCTATTCTCATTGCTTGATATGCATGGCATTGCCGATGCTCTTACCCAAGTCATGCCTAATGACAACTCACCGGAAGGCATCAAACTCATCCACTAATGGACCTACACGAATACGGTTTGTCGTCATACTATTCTTAGCACTTTATCTAATGAGTTGTCTGATGACTATTACACGGAAAACGTGGCGAAGGAAATATGGGGTTCCATGATAACCAAATACACGATCGAGGACACTGTCAAACAAAAAATTGTGATAGAAAATTGTTACAAATGTGAGATGAAGAATGATAGAGACATAATGACAAAATCCATGAATGTCAGACGCTACTGGCCTGATTATCTCAAGGGCGTCCAAATAGAGCCACCAGAGCCTTTCATTACCAGGATCCTAATTGTGAAAGTGTCGGAATCCTAGAGGGACTACAAAAGAGACATCAAACACAAATTTGGGCCAATGTCGTTCAATGATATGATCACCACATCACCATTGACGAAAAAAAGGAAGGATATGCCAAGAGTCAAGCAAACGAGTACACTTCAAATGCCAATTTCGTTGACCGAGAACAAAATGAAATACGATGATAATTATTATTTTAATAATAAGTCAAATTGCAATAAACCCAAACATACCACCAGTTTTAAAATGAAAGGTGATTGTTTTGTTTGCGAGACACCGGGACACCATGACATTGAGTGTAGGAAAAGGGAATTTGAGGAAAATAAAAAACCACATAAACTAAGTTCAAACTTGGTTGAAAGTGTCGACATTATAACTAAGGTTGTTTCACAAACTTGCTAGGTGGCGGATGTGTATCAATGGGTAGTAGATTCGGAAGCCACTAGACATATTTGTGAGGATAAAAGTGTGTTTGCCTCATATACACCAATACGGGATGAAGAAGAACTTTTGAATGGGCAGTAGACTCAGATTGTTTTTGTTTTATTTGACTATGTTTTGGGCATTTGGGATTAGATCAAACCATAAATTTTAATTCCAATTACAAACATACTTAATTTTAAAAGAATCTTGAGTCAATCAACGTGAAATGATATATGATAAGATGGGGTAAAAGAAAGATAAAAGATAAGGAAAATAATATAAAGAGGAGAAGAGTGATAAAAAGATTAAAAAAAATTAAAATATATAAAAAAAGAAGATAAAAGAAGAAGAAATCGGGTGAATCCTCCACACGTGTGTTCTCCCATCACACACCACTTTCTACAAAGTCACACTCTCAGCGAGTCCCAAAAGTTCAATATCATTTCCCACCTCTCTAATCCACATCAAAAGTTCAATATCATTTCCCACCTCTCTAATCCACATTAACATGAGTATTATTCTCATCTGTCTAGAGCTTTGACAACCACGTACCTCCCCGACTCCGGCCGCCAGCGGCGGCCAGTGACCAACCCTTCTCTCACCATTGCCCAACCAGCCAATACCAGACCCCACCGCGTCCCCATCTGCCCTAACGCGACCCCGCTAACCCTAGCCGCCATTCCAGATCTAGATTTGAAAATCACCCCTTCGCCCCTTTGACCCCTCACAATCGGAAGGAAATTAAAGAAAGAGAAGAAGATTGGCGTGGGTATGGAGATGGCAACGAAAGGAGAAGATCAATGGCTATATGTGACAAACGACAGCGGTGGACGTGAACAAGATGGTCGACAATGATGTTAGTCGCGGTCGATGGCGACAGGCAACAGGCAATGGAGACGACCAATGTAGTGGAGGAAACGACAATCTGGCTGCTCCGTGAGCGGAGGAGATGGGCGCTTTGCGTCGTCGAAGCCTTGCTCCGTCCCTGGGGTTCGTGCACAACAATGATGATTGAAGAAACGAAAGGTTTTAGCCGATCACTTTTTTATAAAATACCCACATATGTTTGTTCAATAAAAGTTGGGAGATAATATTTGTTGAGAGAATTATTAGCAAACAAAAATCAAACTATTTTCAGTTTGGTTCAGTTTGGATTTGTTATTTTTTAATAATATACTCCCTCCGTCCCCCAATTAAGTTCTCACTTTCCATTTTGGGCAGTCTCTAAGTTAAGTTCACACTTCAATACTTTCCTTATTTGGAAAATTATATGTATCAAAACGGTGTCAAGCAGTGCCAAACAGTGTCAAACGGTGTTTAAACAGTGCTAAACAGTGCACTGCACAGTAAAGTCAAATTTATTTTCTTAATATGTGTGAAGTCAAACCAGGAACTTAATCGGGGGACAGAGGGAGTATGAAAATTTTATTGAATTTCTTTGGTTCGGTTAAGTTTTAATCGGTTTCGGTTCGATTTTATATGATTTGGAAGAAATTCTACCAAACTCAAACCAAATTGCATACAGTTCGGTTTGGTACGGCTCGATTTGGTTAAACCAAACCAATATGTCCGCACCTACTATTCTTATAAGAAAACATTAGAGTATATTTTCTTGATTAGCCAAAGGCTAAGTAGCACGGAAACACCGAAATGGGAAACGTAAAACGAGAAACGCGAGAAATGTAATTTCTAAAAAATATAGTTAACGAAACGTGGGGTAAACGCGTAACTATTATAAAATATAAGAATATAATTATAATTATTTTTTAATATATGTACACAAGTTTTTCCATATGCACATGTTTTTTTCATATAATTTGTTTAGTAACCAAATAATAAAATCATTCTACATGTTCGAATTTAGATATTACTATGTATTTCATATTAGTACATAATTAAGCATAAATTGTACAGAGTAATACATTTCTAGCAATACATTGCATTATGAAATGTAACAAGTGTTGCTGGTGAGAAATACCACAAAAATTCATTATTAGGAAAAATTATTTTTCATCACAGAATCTTTAAAAAAGAAAAAAATGGAATCCGAAATTTCTGAAACGTAGTAAAATAAGTTTCCAAATTTTTATTAATTACGAAAACGGCCCCAAAACAATCCCAAAACAGAAATTTGAAGTTTCCGAACTTCCGAAACACTTAAATTTTCGAAACGTTGAAACGTGAACATAGAAAATTTATGTGCTTCATAGGCCGAAGGAGGGGATGGTATAAGCATCCATGATGAACTTTGACCACGTCTCTATCACTTGTTTGTCTGTATTACTGTAACCCTCGACTCATCTCTATCCTATTTCCCACGATGCATTATTGCCACTCAGATACCATAGACAGCCAAATTCTACAGTGCTGCTCACCAATTTCTCTATCTCTGAATAAATAGTCCCCTGAATGTTTCAATTCGCTTCATCACGCTATATAGCATCCATCCATCCCCCGCGATTCCGAACTAAGGATGCACGCCGGGAAATTGCAGTACGCTTCACCTCTCACGCCGCACCCGCCGACGGACTTGGCTGATGAAGCGAGCTGGGTGTGGACGCAGATTAAGGCCGAGGCTCGGCGCGACGCCGAGGCGGAGCCTGCTCTGGCTAGTTACTTGTACTCCACCATACTTTCACACTCGTCGCTGGACCGTTCGGTTTCCTTCCACTTGGGGAACAAGCTCTGCTCCTCCACGCTCCTCTCCACGCTTCTCTACGATATCTTCATAAACGCTTTCTCAAACGACTCGGAACTCCGGGCCGCCACCGTCGCTGATCTCCTCGCCGCTCGCTACCGGGACCCTGCCTGCGTTTCCTTCTCTCACTGCCTCCTTAATTACAAAGGCTTTCTAGCTTCCCAGGTCTGTCACAATTTCTGGTTTGCAAATTCCATTTTCTGAATAGGCTTTGACTTTTGTGTGATGCTGTTGTTGTTTTTATGTTTTGTGGTGTCAATGATGGGAAATCTGTGCTGTTCAATAGATTATAATCATATGTTCAGTTCTAGCAATATTAATTAGGGAGTACTATTTTAGCCTTTACAACAAATTCAAATTAATGAAGTATCTTGATACTTCTGACACTGAAGTCAGACTGGTTTAAGCTTTAAGTAGAAAATTGTAGACTGTTTGGGTTTAATTTTGAAAGTGGTTATGAGGATTCTCTGAAAGGTGAAGCTTGGTTAGATATATTTAAGGAACACACACATAGATTGGAAATCTTTAAGCTCTCAGGGGATTTACTTGTTTAGTTGTTCATTACAATACTAAGGATGTTTTCTTTTGGACTGAAATTTGCTGGTCTGGTCTGGTAAACGTCTGGTCTGGGACTGAAAACAGTCCAAAAGAAAACATCCTAACTTGCAAAGCTTAGGGCGAAATGTCTTATTTCCAAAAAGAGATTGTGTTACCTGTTTACGCCATCAAAAATATACTTGAACATTGAATACATATAGTATACAAGATTCATGACTAAATCCAAAGCACTGTGATGGGCCTGATGTCACAGTGGCAACTTATGAAATGAAAAGCTTTTATTATTTGGCAAAACATGCATCTTTATTCTTAAGGACCACGTGTTTCATGTTTGATTTAATTTTGAACTTTGTACAAGTAAAACTCTTACAGTGGAAAACTTGGATCATATGAGTTTAGTAGTTTACACATGCTCTCCGAGGGCCTGAGTGTTCTCCACTTTTATCTTATTGAGTTTTGTGGGCAGTGGCGTAGCTAGAGGGCATGCTACACCACTATTTGTGGGTTGTTAACCATTTGAGCTTTCCTATAAGAAAATATAACAGAACCCTGTTCAAAGCTTTTAAAACTAATGATACAGAGTTTAATCTTAGTTGCTGAATACACCATAATCCACTCCAGTTACTTATGGTCTATGGGCCTAATGTGCTGAAAATGTGTAATTAATGTGAAAACCTAAAATTTTGTTCGTGGCATCTTTGTTTTCCTTTTTACTGTTTTCAGATTCACTTTTCTGAAAAGATAAACAAGAAAATGTGTTAACTGAAAACAGAAACAGAATATTGAAAATTATTGGAAAAAGACATTCTTCTTGTGCATAGAAGACCGAGTGATGCACCTCTCAGACGAGTTGAGATGTGTGGAGAAGAGGCAGGGAAGAGAGGGAGTGGAAGGTCCAAACAGACGTGAGTTAGGGGAGTCAGAAGTGATATGCTTCTTCTTGGATTAGATGATGGTATGACTTTGGAGAGAGCAAAATGGAGGGCGGGTATTCGTGTGGAGGAGTAATCTTGTATCATTTTTTCCCTCTTTTTTTAAATATATTTTTATCCTTATATATAAATATTACTTTATCCTTTTTATTTTATCTTTTATATGTATATTCATCTCTTTTATATTATCTTTTTTTTATAATAGCTTATCTTTTTTATCTTTATTTTCTTTCTTTTCCTTTTGGTGATATCATGTATCGATTCATGTTAGCCGACCCCAATATCGTTTGGACTAAGGCTTGGATGTTGTTGTTGTATTGGAAAAAGACATTCTGTTTTTCTTTGTTTAAAAGACGCTTTGAGTTGTACCTTGGTGAAATATGATTCCCTTTTTCTTTGGGGGGGGGGGGTTATTTGTGTTTGAAATTTGATGACAAAGTAGAAGGAAATAGAAACAATATTTTACACAACATGATAGGCTAAAAATCTAAGTATTTACCATATTACTGCATTAACAAAAGGTGGTTGATGAGGTTGTTGTATGTCTCAGGCACATCGAGTCTCGCACAAGCTTTGGAACCAATCTCGTAGGCCTCTCGCTCTTGCACTTCAATCGAGAATCTCAGATGTTTTTGCTGTTGACATCCACCCAGCCGCAAAGATTGGAAAAGGCATCCTTTTTGACCATGCCACAGGAGTCGTGGTTGGTGAGACAGCAGTTATTGGGAACAATGTCTCAATACTCCACCATGTAACCTTAGGAGGCACCGGTAAGATTGGTGGTGACCGCCACCCTAAGATTGGTGATGGGGTGCTGATCGGTGCAGGGGCAACTATACTTGGAAATGTATGCATTGGAGCGGGAGCCAAAATCGGGGCTGGTTCAGTAGTATTGATGGACGTGCCTCCGCAGACAACCGCAGCGGGGAATCCAGCAAGGCTAGTAGGAGGGAAGGCACAACCAACTAAGCATGAGGAAGTTCCTGGAGAGTCAATGGACCATACCTCTTTTATTTCTGAATGGTCTGATTACATAATCTGATATCTCCATCACGCTCTGTTACTACTTTCCTTTTTCATTTCACCTTATATTTAACATAGCTTGCTTTTATGGCACCAGTAGATAATTTTTATGCACTAGGTGCGGATGCTGATATTTGATATCCCATTCGATAACATTGAAATAGGTCGAATTTGCCGAGAATGACGAAGTTATAACATGCTGAAATTATGGCTGAATGGACTGGATTTGCGAACTTATGAAGAAACAAAGTTACTCTGGTATAATGCATTTTATTAATGAATAAGAAAAAATAAAATGAAACAACTAAAATGGTCCTCGCCAGCCAATTCAGTCAAAAATTACCTCCAGGCTCCAGTCCTGCTTTTTACAATAAGACTAGTAGGACAATGTTACTGAAGTATCAAACGGACATTAAGTGGTCTCTACTCTCTACTCTGCGATTGTTGTACCATTTTAGTTGATTGGTGAACTATTTAGTTTTTGTATAGTAGTGAAATAAAGTGAATTGTTTTGGACCTCTTTATGATGTTTAGTCAATGGGTTGTATTCAGTTCCGCTATTCTGCACGAAACCATTCAAAGTTTTATTTATGCTATCTTTGTCATGTTACTTTAGCTTAAAGTAAACTGAATTTTTTAAATCAAGCTAATTTTAATTGAGGCATTGTAAGAACTTAAGCTGAAAATAATTGGCTGAATAAGAATGTTAATATCTCTAGCTTTTCGATTCAGTCGATTTTTTTGAGAGTATTCCTGTTTGGTAAACCAAACAGCGCAAGTAGGCTATATCTCAAATAAGAGGGCTGATTAGGAACGCTTGTCATCCCAACGTTTCAATTCAGTCAAGTGTACAATTCACCTCCATTCCAAAATTATCCCTTGGAACTGTTTTTCTTTTCTCTGGGTTGGTCGTCTCTTTCTCGCTAAAATTTTACGTTAGGACTCCGTATGATGTATATATACACGCAAGATAAATATATACACACACTAAAATTTTGATAATAATTACGGAGTAAAATATAACAACCATTAAAATAAATATTTTTTCTACTTCGTACTAATTAAATGTATACCCTTATGTAATTTCATGTTATCCAGCAGTTATTTCAGTTCTTTATACGAAACAAGTCTACTTTATTCGGGTAGCAATTCAGATTCAGCACCTCAAAGCTCAGCTTCAGACAATAGTGTCTAATTCAGACAATAGCTCCTAAATCAAACATTAGCCTTCAGCTTCAGGTCGTTGTGCCAAACATAGCCCAAGACATTACCCAGTACGGAGCCCGGGTAGCTAGGCCCATTTCGGCCCATCCGTCCCACTGTAGCTTGACAGGCCCACCTTGGCCCGTTTGGCCCATTAGGGTGGAGTACTTTCCCATCCCCTTTCCCTATAAATATAGGTTTTCCCTCCATGCAAAGGATCCCTTTTTTCTCTTCTTCCTCCATGTATGGGAGCTTGTACAATGTAATGGTGAAGAGAGTCTAATGAGAAAGAGATGGCTTGGACATTAGCCTAAAATTCTAAAAAGTCCCGTGGTTTTCTCCCTTTCGGGTTTCCACGTAAAAACAGAGCATTCATACCATATTATATCTATATTTACTATATCGTGTTAGATTAAACTCAACATTGGGCCGAAATGGCCCCAAAGGCCGAAACAGGCCTGATAGGCTGAAATGGGCCTCACTGATCGGGCTTCGTACTATATAAAGTATTGGTCTCCTGAACAGTAACAGACCGTGATAATATATCCCAACAGTTATCAAATAATCACCATCATCATCATGAATGTATAGACGGAAAGTTGGGCATTGTGGCTTTCCACAACATGTTTCACAAATCTCATGTATAGAGTTGGGATTTGATAATGTGATTCCTGTAATATTTTTCGTGTAAAGTCATAATAAATCATTTTCACCCAAACAACATTCAAAAAATAGGACTAGTTATGTTTTATTTCTCAAATTTGACTCATGTAGTCCTATTAAAAGAATGAGTTAGATTAAGATTTCTCAAAATAGGAATATAGAAATGGATGCGTCCTATTTTGGAAATAACATAATAGTAATCCTATTTATGAACTTTGACTTTCGTTTAGTCTTATATATGTAATTTTCTCTTTTTGAAATACACAGAGACTTTTATATTTTTACATGTCCTCATTGAATACCCCGAGTCCCGGGCAAAGACATTTAAAATGTTTCAAAATATCTTAATTAAATACATCAATATTTTGAAATCCTTATAGTTGTAACTGGAAAATTCTAGAGGGAGCATCCGAGCATGTACTCTGTTAACGAAGACAATTTCTTCATAAAGGATGACACTCCATCCTCGAGGGCATCCCAAAAAGGATGACACTCATGAACAGAGAATGAGATTTTATTTCAAAACATTGTTTGAAGTTGAACTCATGACATCTCTCTTATGGTATACCATTCCTATCTGGTGAGCTACACCCCTGCTTAAGATAATTTCTTCATTGCGTTTGGTTGCACTATTCTCTATGTTTTGCTCCGTACGTCTTTATTTACTGATGAAGCAGATTACAATTAAACAAGGTGAAAACTTCGGCGCCCATTAAAAAAATGGGTACCGTACCTATCATGCATTTGATTGGTCCAAATCATTATATCACTTTTAATTTAGATTTAAATAATTCAACTGCATCATTCTGATTGGTCCATGTAGACAAAGTTATGGTACCTTATGAGTACCATAGAATCTACCATTAAACAATGGTAAAATGAGTGAATTCTCAAAATATGATTAAAATAACTCAAAGTATAAGAGCACGTTTGGTACCAAGAAAACAACATTTTTAAAATATATTTTATTAGTTAAATAAAGAAAAAAATATATGTAAAAATAGCTAAAATGGTCATCTACAATAACTTCAGCCAATACAGCCAGAAAAGTAACTCCAACCTTATTTTTTCTGCTTATTACACAATTCGGCGTGTGAAAGCAAAAATTACGTGTTTGGTGAAAAAGTTGGTTGATAAGCCTGATAAGTCGAAAAACAGTATTGCCAAACGGCCTCTAAAAATAGGAGTCCTAACGTAAAATTTTATACCACGTAAATAGAAGCAATAATTTGTGATGGGACCAAATCACATTGGGAGGTGCTGAAACATAGTCACCGAATCGCCCTCGCTAGTCTCACAATTCCAGACTTTAACCAAAGTTACCAAACCCAGATTGGATCATTGTAGACTCAAGTTATACGGCGCAAAACATTGTGTCATTCTAAGTGTATACCATATGGCCAGCTGTACGGCTGGCACCGTACAGCCAGTGACAATTTTGTAATTTTGATGAAGTTCATGATTTCTCTTAAATGAGCATTGATGTAATCTGGATGAGTATCTAGTCTGTTCTTCTGAGTATTAGGAGCCTAACAATGAGCACCAGTGATATCTGCTTCATATCTTCTAATTCATGTTCTTTTTATTATTTTTTCGTTTATAAAAAATTCTTAAATTATGTTTATAATTAATTTCAATATGTGAATCTAATGTAGTATGATATGTTTGATAGGTGCATCATTTTAAAATGAGCATAAAGCAGTACCACATGAGCATACATAATTTTCAAAATGAGTATCAAAAAATTCAAAAGCTCATTTGTGTATGCTCATTGATTTTGGGCGTTATATTTGATATGTGCATCATTTTAAAATGAGCATAAAACATTACCAAATGAGCATACGCAATTTACAAAACGAGTATAAAAAATTTCAAAAGCTCATTCGTGTATACTCATTGATTTTGGGCGTTATACTCATTTAAGTTTAACATAAAACTCATTTTTAATGTGTTTAATATTCAGTTGTGTATGTTCATTTTTTTGAGGCGTATACTCATATGAGTTTTATATAAAACTCATTTTTAATGTTCTTAATATCCAGTTGTGTATGTTCATTTCTTATATGGGTATACTCATTTGAATTCAATATAAAACTCATTTGAGATCAATAGCAGTAGGGATTCCTTTGTCTGCAGTAGACTCGCTTTGTCTTCCAAAATCACAATCTTAAACACCAAAATTGAATAAAAAAAGAGAAAAAAGAAGAGTGAAAAGAAAGACAGAGAGGAGGGAGGAGAAACAGATCTGCTGTGACCATTCTAGAGGAGAAGGGGACGAGCAACCAGACGAAGCGAAGGGCCATCTCCGTTTTGGTTTTTCCGGCGACGAAGTTGTTGGGTGTGTTTCGGAAAATAAAGAAAATTAATTAAAATAAATTAATTAAATAAAATGACAAGAGAAAAACAAGAAAGGAGATGAAGCAGAATTAGTCAAAGCTCGTGCTACACACGATTTCCTTAAAACGTATTTGTTGCCTCCCACGGTGCTAAGAGCGTTGCAACAATCGTTTCCCAGGATACGATGACTACGAACTAATGTTTGAGCACACAAACAAAAGTTCCAGCGAACGAGAACACAGTATGAACACAGAGGGAATTTTCAGATTGCTAGCAGTGTGTTTTAGAGGTGCAAAACGTGCATGGAGTGTATGAATTCGTGTGTTGTTGCAAACCACCTGCCAGCCATTATATAGGAGGATTTGTTGTGTGTAAATGGTGAATTAATGGACCTGAACGTTGGACATCAATGTCCAGTCCGTTGGGCATTGAATCATCCATGAACTGTCCATTTAACGCTGCATTAAAAGATAAGAACGTTGGGCATTTATTGCTGTAACGGTTCAGAAGGCCTCCCAACAGAACTCCTTGGAAGGGGTTCTGTTCGCGGCCAACAAAAGACCCTGTGAGGGTTTCTGTTACGCGGCCACCAGAAGACCCCAAGAGGGTCTCTGTCCCGCGGCCACCAGAAAACCCCAAGAGGGGTTCTGGTACGCGGCCATCAGAACACCAACGATACCGCGGCCACCAGAAGACCCCAAGAGGGGTTCTGGTACGCGGCCATCAGAACACCAACGAGGTGTTCTGTTTGAAGCCTTTCTGTCAATTGGGAAAAATTTTACGTTTCGGGAAGAAAACAAAAATTATCCGTTTCTCTTGAGAGAAGAGATTTTTGGACGACATTCGTGTCCGCAGGTCGCCCGCGTACACAAGTCGCGGTTTTTCTTCTCCGAATTCGGGATTTGATTTGCACCCCCTGCGCGCGTGGAGAGAGTCTTTACCCTTAGGAATCTTAACTCCTTAAGGGGGGAGTCCGTTTATAAAGGGTTGCAAATCCCTTGGGTTTTCCGGTGTGGGAAATTAACACACTAGAAACCCATCATTTTTCCCTTCTAACGGGTAAACTTCGAAAAACAATTTCTCATTCACCCGTTATCCTTTTTTAGCGTACCATATATCGAATTGTAGCCCTAAACAAGGACAATCCGAAAACATTTTGACCCGACCCAAATTGGAAGTGGACCCCACTCAAAAAATTGCCCCAAAATAGTCATTTAATGCAATTTTTCACACATTTTTCCAACAGAAGTAACTAGACGAAGCCACATCGAAGAATGAGACGAGATCGGAAAAGCTGTGGCAATTGTGCAAAGGTTGAATTGTTCTTCTGTGCTAAGCCGAGGAGCGCAGACAGCGGTAAGTCTTGAGTTCGACTCCTATACTTGAGCCAGCCAGAACCTCATTCTTGAAGTATCACTTTTGAGTTTAGATGAGACTTCAGGTTTAGTTTTGCTCTTTTATCATGGCGTCTCTCTCAATCCACACAGCCGGAAACTCCCTCAAACTCATCCTACCGTCCTCACTCCATTCCCACTGCCCCTCTCAACTTTCTTTCAAGTCCCTTTGCTCTTCTGCTCCCCGCTACCGCACCAAAACCAACAGAGCCGCTCACTCGCGGCGGAGCACTACCCGTCACCCTCCGCCATCCAGACCTCCCAGAACCCGCAGAGACAACTACCAAAAACACCCCATTACCGTTGAACGGGATAGCGGTCCATTGCCTCCAGACGCCAATAGTCCGCAGGAACTCAAAATCGACTTGATTGGTTTATGCAATGAAGGAAAGATTGAAGAAGCGATTGGATACATTTCACGAGGCTCCAGTCCCAGTTTTGGTGTTTTCGAGTTGATTTTGGATTTCTGCATCAATTCGGGTTTCTTTGAGCTGGGAAAAAGGGTTCATGAGCTTCTGGAGCAGTCTGGTTACAGTAGCAATCTCGAATTGAGTGGGAAACTGGTTGAGATGAACCTGAAGAGCGGGGACATGGTGAATGCGCGAAAGGTGTTTGATAGAATGACCCATCGGAGGTTGGAGCTTTGGAATCTTATGATAACTGGGTATGCAGATAACGGTGAAGGGGAAAGCGGTCTGCTTCTTTTCGGGCAAATGAGGAAACTTGAGCCCAACAAACCCACTGAAGAGACATTCGTAGCAGTATTTTCTGCTTGTGCTAGTGCGGGAGCTGTACAGGAAGGTTTGTTTTACTTCGAGTTGATGAAGAAGGGGTTTGGCATTGTCCCAGGAATTGAGCATTATTTAGGCGTTCTTGATATTTTGGGGAAAGCCGGCCATTTGCCCGAAGCTGTGGACTTTGTAGAGAACATTCCCATAAACCCTACAATTGAAGTGTGGGAGGCCATTCTGAATTTCGCTCGAATACACGGAGATATGGAGCTTGAAGATCGAGCTGAGGAGATACTAATTGGATTTGATCCCTCAAGGACTATAATAGATAAGGTTCCTGTTCCATTGCAAAAGAGGCACTCCGAGCTCAACATGCTTGAGGACAATAGACGAATTTTTGCTTTCAAGAATCCAAGTGCATACAAGGAAGCGTCATATAATAAGAGTGGGCAACATAGTGATTCAGTGTATGTACCAGACACAAGTTATGTGCTGCATGACATTGATGAGGAGGCCAAGGAGAAGGCTTTGATGTATCACAGTGAGCGTTTGGCAATTGCATATGGTCTCATTAAAACTCCTGCAAGGACAACTCTTAGAATCATGAAGAACCTTAGGATATGTGGTGACTGCCACAACGCGATAAAGGTCATGTCTAAGGTTGTGGGCAGAGAGCTGATAGTCAGGGACACCAAGCGCTTTCATCATTTCAGAGATGGTAAATGCTCTTGTAATGACTTCTGGTGAAAAAAATGGCATCTGGAGATTTTGCCCGAGAGTGATCTAAAACCAAAATGTATAGTGTGAACCCATTGCTGTTGTCTGTTGATATTTGTGTTCTTCTGGAGATGACTAACATATTAAATTGGGTTTCTAGAAAGGTAGATTCTACGGTAACCATAAGGTACCGTACCTTTGTCCACATGGACCAATCAGAATCATGCAGTTGAATTATTTAAATCTAAACTAAAATGGATTTAATGATTTGGACCAATCAAATGCAAGGTAGGTACGGTACCCCATTTTTTAAATGAGTACCGGAGTTGTCACCTTCTAGAAATTTGTTTATACTGAAATACATGTTTTTCAGACTATCTTGATGTCCACATTTCTTATGGAATGAAAGAAACCCTTATTCGTAAAAGAGAGCAACAACGGCGAACACAATTTTCTAGTAAACCACAGCTGCTACATACCACCTCATTGTCAAACCCAAGTCCGGCCGGTTCTGGGTGACTGGGTACCTGGGGATGGTGCATCCTTTTCTAGTAACTATGGCAAATAGTATGAGGCCATAGCTTAGCCTCGACGAAAGCCTAACTTTATGACCAATATAATAAATAAAATAAAAAATGACTCAAATAGGACACAAAATGTGAAAGTAATGCGAAACAAATATTCTTGTTTAAAAAAGACTGTATTCCTTCAATCCAACGGGAATGCCACAAAATTTCATGTTGATGATGCTGTAATGTCATTATAAAGTTACAATGTCATCATCTCCCAATTGGTAAATGGCAATTCAAAAATTACCCTAAATAGGGGTAAAACGTTTTAAAATTCCAAAATAGGATTATCATGTTTTTTATTCCTTGAATAGGAATAATCTGTCAAGTTTGACAAAAAATGTCATGTTTAAAGCCTAGTAATGCCAAACTTGACAGAAATTTACTTTTATTCAGGGAATAAAAAATGATAGTCCTATTTTGGAATTTCAAATTGTCACCATCAAACAATGCTTTCACTCTGACAGTAAAATCAATTTTATCTGAATGGACATTTTGTTAACATACTGACTTGATAAAATATTAGTAAAAATGTCATATCGACTAGTAATAAAAATATCTTCATGGTTGTGAATGTACAAAAAATATCATCTCGACTCATGATTTAGGAGATGAATTAACATGAATAATGGGAATTGAAAAATATGATCTCGACTTCTAATGAAAATGCCATCTTTATTGTCAATGTCTCAATATTGTCGTCTTGATTGTAATACGTGACTTATTTGGGCGGATGACGACAAGGAGAGGACGAACTCATTTGGGCGGATGACAACAAGGGTTTCTACTCAGTCCGCAGTTGTTATAAGCGAATCACCCATAGTACGTTGCCAGATGTTGGCTGGGTGAAGATATGGAAGCTTGATATACCTCCGATGGTAAAAATTTTCTTTTGGCAAGCTTGTGTGGATTGTTTACCGAGTAAACAACGGTTGATTCAACGTAGAGTTCCGTTATGGCCAAAATGCTTGATATATGGTCATAAAGAGGAAAGCTCCATTCATGTCCTTCGAGACTGTACCTTGGCTCGGTTGGTATGGCACAACAGGGGCAACAACTTTTTGCAGATTGCAGGCCACGACTTTGGGGTGTGGGCATCTTCGGCGGCAGCCAATAGCACGAAGGCTGAGTTCGGGAAGTTTGCCATGATCTGTTGGAGCTTATGGAAGGCTCAGAATGAAAAAGTTTGGAAAAATTTAAATCCAAACTGGAAAGGTGTCATTGCTTGTGGTGAAACCGTGCTGGACGGATGGAAAGCTACGCAAATTTCCGCCCCCAGGAGCTGACTTCGGTAAGGCATAGTGAAATGTGGAAACCACCGAAAGAGGGGTGGGTGAAAATAAATGTGGATGCCGCTACCTCAAATATAGGTGATATAAGAGTGTTGGGGCTGGTGGTATGAGATAGTCAGGGGGTTTTTCTTGCAGGAAAAAGCATTCGACGGAAGGGTAGATATGCATCAGGCACAACAGAAGGAAGCGGTCAAGTGGGCATTAGAGCAAGGATGGCAACGGGTTGTCATGGAATCAGATGCTAAATAGATTGTGCAGGGACTTGCTCGGGAAGACGGTTTACACTATAATGATATCATCTTTAGAAATATTAGACACATGATGGTTGATTTTACCAATATAAGTGTCCAATATGTGCACCGTTCAATGAATTAGGCGGCTCATATTCTAGCCAGAGAGGCCTGTTCTGGGTCTGGCGGCACTTGGTTGGATTTTCCTCCTAATTGTATTATTCATGTTTTGAACAATAGTGATTAATAAAGTTATTTGATTTTCAAAAAAAATTGAACATGGTCCCGTATATATACAAACGTAGAAAACTTTGGCAAGAAAATTGCTAGGAGTATGCCTAAAAGAGATGATAATTTCTAAAATATGATTAAACAATTTTTTATTTTTACATTAATGATGTTTTGCATGTATGATATGTGTTTGGTGCTATTTCTCTCATGAGTTGTGCTAGGTGTACACATTTTTGTGTACATTTTTTGTACACTCGTTTGTCTCACACACAAAATATTGTCTGTCCACAGACAATTCTACAGAGTTGTCTGTGGATCGGACAGACAATTCTTTATGCGTGAGATAGACGGATGTACAAAATGTGCACACAAAAATGTGTACACAAAACATTTTTCTTCTCTCATATGGTGTCATGTTTAAATTTGATAGCCATAAATTAGGAATATGTACGAATATTCTAGTAACATTTAGATAAATTGGCTAATTAGAAAAACGTTTCTGGTTTTTAATTCTGGAAAACAATAAAGTGAACATGTTATTCAAAATTTCCAGAAAATAAAGAATTTTCTCATTAGTAAACAGGTAGAAGTATTGATAGTGGTAGAAAAAAGAGTAAGAAAGTACACACACAAAAGTATGTATAAATAGCGTTTTCCTTTATTCAGGTCGTTGCCGCGCAATACTGAATGCTGGATCGTCCTTCTACCATAACGCTTTCCATGCTTCCACAAATCACGGAAGAACGCCAACACTGAGACTCCCATCATAGTTTTAAATAACAGTTACATCCCAGAGAATCCAGAGAGTAGAGAGGGAAAATTCTGACAGAAAATGTTGAAGTTAGAGGATTTGGCATTGTGGGTATTGTTGTTATCTGCTGCAGTTATTTCTTCTTCAATCTCAGTGTGTGGAAAGAAAGCAATGGCAAGGAAAGAGGACATTCCATACATCAAATGCCAGGTCTGTGAGATGCTTGCTTATCAACTCTACCATCAAGTTCAGCGAAAGAAAGCAGCAATCTCACCCAACAAGGTAACTCTATCTTCAGGGGAGTTGGAATTTATACCCAGTTTTTCAATTTGAGTTTGCTTTTCAAAATCATTAATATAAACATCTTTAAACATTTATAAGTTAATACTTACATTTCTTGCAAGTTGGAGTTTGTATTGTATGTTTAACAGAATTTTCATAGACCAGGTACTAATTGAATGATTTTGAAAATAGGGCTCGAACTCAAATTTAGTTAAAATAACAAAACAGCTAAATATTTCAAAAACGTTAAAATAAAAAAAGTTTCTTTTTGTAGAAAAATGTAAAAGTTAGTAATTTAAAAGGCTAGATATAAAGCTAAAACTTAAAAATTATAAAATTAGAATTTAAAAGTATTAAAAAATGTAGATAATACAAGTAATTAAAAAGCGCAAAATACTGTAGATTTTGACTTTTTATTTTTTTTACCTTTTTTTTTCAATTTTTCAAATTTATCATTTTTCTTAATTTTGCTATTGGATTTCCCACCTAAATAAGTGTGCTTTTATGATATTTTTTAGCATGTAAACTTAAGTGATAAGTTTGAAATAGGAGAAGGTTATATTTGAACCTTTTCCTCAAAATAGAAAAAAACTCTAAATATAAAAAAGATACATATATTTGTAATATTGGAATGAATCTTTATGCAATACTACCTCTCTTCTTAAATAATATTAACATGTTACAGTATGCATATGCTCCACTCTGACCACATTATATTCATTAGTATTTTAGAAATTCAATTTTTGAAAAGTATTGTCAAATTCGATTAATTTAAACTTTTCAAAATCGTTTTTTTTTTAATTTTTTACTAATAGTGAATTAAACATATTACATTAATAATCAAAGTTCTGTGTTGGCAAACATGAGAAATGGAAGTGTTGCAATTAAAAAAACGGAGGAAGTATAAGAGTTAGGTTATCTTCTCTACTTGCCATGGACAACTAGAACAAGTTAAGTGTCATTAACTCATTAATGATGAACTTTATCACACCTTCTCCATGGTTTTGCAATCTTACTTTCTATGCTCAAATATTCAGTTTGGGCTCATTTATATTATGAAGAAATGTTTTTAAAACTTAAAGTATATGATTGGTAACTTTATCCTTTCAGTTCTTTTTATATATTATGTGCATGGAGTAAAATACATATAATAATATGATTTCAGATCTCAGAGTACCAGATCATTGAGATTTCAGAGAGCGTCTGTAATCTAAAGAAGCAAGAAGCTGATTGGATTCTCAAAATTGATATTGTAGAAGAAGGAGATAGGTTGGCGGTAAACTTCCACATTTATGCTTGCTTGTTTCTGCAAGTTATGTTCATCTTTGCTGCATTCCTTAAGAGAATCATAGATTGTTTAAGAGTTCTTGAACTCATCTGGGTAATCTAGATTTAACGTGTTATTATCCATGCCCAGCTTATTGAACAAGACTCTGAAGGACAATGTAATTCAGAATGCAAAACAGTTGAACGTGCTTGTCAAGAAGTAAGATTTCTTGCCCGTTTTGTTCTTAAGGTGTTTGCATTCTATCAATTCGCTGGCCATTAAAAGCTCTTGGGTGTTAGGTTATCGCTAATCTCAACAGTAATTCGAAGGTAGAAATGGCAAAGAATATCAAAAGCAGAAGTTTATTGATTATCGTTAAGAGAAGAATACAGTCCCAAGTCGTAAACAAAGTCCCGACTCCCAGTCCCAGTCCAATCCCAATTTCTCCTCCTTTCTACTCAAAGCTCACCCTATTTATTCTCTTTCTAATGGGCCAGCCCACTTCCATTTAGTTATAGGGCCTAACCCCTTTCAATACACAATATTAAAAGACTTAATAGTATTCTTATTCTAGTATTATTTTAGGTCTCTATCATCACTCCCCCCTTGACAACCACCTTGTCCTCAAGGTGGGGAGTAAGAAACTGCCATGCCCTTCAGTTTCATCTTGGCGCCTCTTCCTTCCCAGTACGTCCTTGCTTGCTTATCAACTCTCAGCCATACTTCCTCATCTTTTATATTGCTTGAACCCTTTATCATCCCTTCTGAACATAGCTGTCCCCAACCCGGTTTAACCAAATTCTCTTCGTAGAGAAGGATGTTGTCACCCTGGAGAACATAATGATTGTTCTCTTGCTCAGATTTCCCGGCAGTCCAACAAATGTTCTCATAAAAGTGCAACTGTCTAGGGTTTTTCAGTCTGAACAAGGAATTAAGTTCACTGCTTTTCACATTAGCAACCAAGGAAGGTAAGAAGGAATTAAGTTCACTGCTTTTCACATTAGCAACCAAGGAAGGTAAGAAGGAACTCAGCACATTGCCACCAGGCCCACTCCCTGTGCACAATACTTCTCCAGCCAGCCTGGCACATGCAAGAAGGCAAGCGCCCCCGCCGAATTTTGACAACAACTTGACATAAATTGAGACAAACATGTGGCCTTCGGAGGACTTCACATCAAAAGAAGAAAGTTCCTGGTTCGAACAAGCCATTCTTTCTCTGATGTTTAAATTTGGAAGAAGCCAATGAGGCCATGAATCACTACTGTGCAGCAAAAGGCTCTCATGTCTCTTCAGGATCTTTGCACCAAGGCTCTTTAAGACTTGGCGATCAATCTTGTTGCGCAACCTAGTCACAGATTCACAAGATGACAGTGCTTTTCCAATATTTTGTTTATTTTCTCCACTTAGCCATGCCTGTGTTGTGAGAGTAGTCTTCTGATTCCATCCGCCATCCACTGGCAAACTTTTTGCAAAGCTCTCTAGTTTAATTTTCAGCAAAGGAAGCTCAATGATCAAATAGTTTGTATCATCAGCCCAAGTGAAGACCGCATCAATTTCCTTCATTTTTTGAACTTTCCTTTCAACTATGCTGTTAAGAATAAACTCATCAACCCATCTGAGTTCAGCATTAGAGGAGTCCCATATTGCAGATAGTATCGAACTGAAACCCTTAAATGCCATCCCAGATTTGACATTTGAGTGAATGAAGACTGATCCTTCAATTGCACTCCTCTGTAAGTCATTCTTCCCCAATTGCCTTGCTAAAGCTCCCCAAAATAGTACAACACCTTCAACCACAATAGCTTGGTCCTGACTGTCAGCCTCAGAAATATATTTCTCCATCCATCTCCTATTAGTAATTGTGTGAACACTGACACCCTTCTCCCCATCCTTACCTCTTTTCCGGAGTATTATGATCCCTTTACCAGTAATATCAATACGTAATGAGTAGTGAACACCTACAGTTCCCTCTTGAGCTGATATACAAACAGCTGGCAGCCCCTTAACATCTTCACCAACTATAATGACATCTTTGAGAAGACCATAATTGAGATCATTGACAAATAACAAATTCAAAGCAGCCTCAATTTCAGTAACATATCCACCATACTCCTTAAAGTTCCCCTTAAATCCTTCCCCCAACCCCTTTTGAGTATACATCATGGAAGTGAAGTCATCAATTCGGAAGCTAACAAACCTGTTCAGCCATTTCAAAGTAATGTGTGATGATTGACGGTACACAAAATCCATCATAACGCCCAATCCCTGTTCATGAATTTTGTAGGACCAACCTTCTTTATCCTCTCCCTTGTCCTTGTTGATCCTTCCCAAGGCCGCGTCCGTGTGCTCTGGATGATTACTTTCCTGATGAGGAAGAATGTCAACTTCACTCTGTTCTGAAAGTGGTTGGACATCAGGTTTAAACTCAGTTTTCGATTCTGGAGAAATTTGAGCACTTTGAGAAGCTGTGTAAGAAGAGGCAAGTGGTTGTGAACTGGTGACTTCCGATTGCGACACCATCCTCGGACTGGTAGAAGCCTCTTGCGATGACGATTGGTGGGATCCGAGTAGAGACGGCGAACTGGAAGAAACGGTTCGCGCTTGAGATGAAACTCGCGAACTCAGCGAATCAAGCCGCGATGAACTCTGTGAACTCGACGAAGTCTGCGAGCGTTGAAAAGCTGTTTGCGAGGTTCCCTTGCTTTTCGAATTCCTACAGCGTCTTATTGTTCTCGATCCTCCGCGAGACGGACTCTCGTTCCAGTTCCGAATTAGTTCGCGTAACTCATCGCGAGTGCGCTTGGCCTCCTCATTTCTGATTCTGTCCTCTTCGCGAAGCCTCTCAAACTCGCGCTCCATGTTTGCGGATCGCCTCGCCAACTCGCGCTCCAAATTCTCCAATCTTCCTTCCATCGTTCTTCTGGTTGCAGCCATATACAGGTACAATCGTGCTCTGATGATCGATTCAGGCTCCAGGAGCGATCGCTCTGATACCAATGTTAGGTTATCGCTAATCTCAACAGTAATTCGAAGGTAGAAATGGCAAAGAATATCAAAAGCAGAAGTTTATTGATTATCGTTAAGAGAAGAATACAGTCCCAAGTCGTAAACAAAGTCCCGACTCCCAGTCCCAGTCCAATCCCAATTTCTCCTCCTTTCTACTCAAAGCTCACCCTATTTATTCTCTTTCTAATGGGCCAGCCCACTTCCATTTAGTTATAGGGCCTAACCCCTTTCAATACACAATATTAAAAGACTTAATAGTATTCTTATTCTAGTATTATTTTAGGTCTCTATCATTGGGACCATGTATGGTTAATTTTTCCCATTTACGTTAGGAAATCTTTCAATCAATGTAATGCAAAAATAGATTTGTTTCACTGTGGTGGGAATACAAAATTTCATTCCTTTCTTCCCCACTTTAAAGATTGCCCTTTCTAAAACTTGATACCAGGTTAAATTGTTTTCTTAAGAAGATGGTGTGAAGTGTAAAATCTTAGCTTTTTGTGGCTGTAAGCCTGTAATGAATATTTGACCTCCTATTACTTGGTCGTCTACTTTCCCACTCTCTTTTTTATGATTTTGACACCGTGATTGATTAGCAAAGACACTTTTGGTTCTTTCTTTGAATATTTGCACCTTGACTCCTTGAGTCCTCTAACTCTCACAATAAAGTCATTTCTGTCACCGTCCTTGAATTTTTTCACGTTTAGTCCTGACTTTTGTGACATAGACGTTTTTAATACATGTTCTTCAAATTATAACATTTAGTGCTCTAGTGTTGTGATAGACTGGTCTTGTACCCACCTTTGATTTTTTCACATTTAGTCGTCTGACTATGGTGAGAGTCACATATTTGATATCCCGAACTATTGTGAGGACCAAAAAGTAGTTGGAGGACTAAAAGTGTCATTCTGACAATAGTTGGAGGATCAAAATGGTCACTTTCATAATATTAAGATGATTTAAAGTGTACAAGTTCAAATATGGCATTGGAAATGTCCATCCTACATTAATCAAATTATCAAAGAACTGAAAGTGAGAAAATGCAAAAACAAGTACCAAGGTGTTATTGTCAGACTAAAAGTGGGAAAACTCGTGTTCAGAAGAACATTACTTGATTTAGCTAATATTTTCTTGACAGAGGTTTATGTTTTGTTGGTCTTGAGGTCAGTACCTTCCTGCTCTATGGGGTTTCAGGTTATGGACTATTCTGATACTGATGTAGCAGAGTATTTGTACAAAAACAAACCTGAACTTGATTCTCTGTTAAATTTTCTCTGCAAAGACCTATCCAAAGCATGTAGCAGGATGCCACCGCCTGTTCCTAAGGTAACTGCTCTGAGCTAAAAAAGTTGGTTATCTCTTAATCACCACCATTCTGGTATTGTGTTTCACAATGTCAATCATTCTTAAATTTTTGCGCACATAAGCATTTTCTATTTTGAAACAGGATAGGGCACCTGGAGAACCTTTCCTTCCCAAGCCCCCAAAAGATGCTGAATTGGAAAATATACTAAAAGCTATGCAGGTATATTTATTGTTGCCTCAGTGAGAGACATAAAGAAGAATCTTCTTTTCTTTATTATTTCCACGAACAATCTATATGTATTATATTATTGTTCTTCAGAGTATGCCTGGAGCACCCAGCGTGGAAGTGTACTCCGGGGATGAATTGAACCAAAACTTTGGTGATAGTGATGATGATGATGAAATCGACCTCTCCTTGGATTGGGTACACATTGAGCTCTTGTTCTGTGCACCTATCTACAAATTCAAGTCTACTTTTTTTTTTGGTTCCACCTAGACTCTAAGCACTTGTTTGGTTCAATGATTCAGAAGAGATGGAATGGGATGGGTGATATATTATTTTTAAATAACTTCTACATTTTAGCTGGTTGATGATAAAGTGAAGAGATAGAAAAACTAGAGAGTACATGATTTAAATGGCATGACCACATAGTTATTTCCAGTTGAAGACTGAAATAGATATGAAGACTGTTCCGGTTTACAATGATCGACGGATGAAATTTACTTTTTACGCTGATAGTACTTAAATTAGTATTACGTAGTAATATATTTAAAACTCACATTACAAGAAACTGCATATAAAGTTCTAATGAATCACAAAAACTGAATTTGAATATGATAAAAACTTAATACTCAAAATCAGAGAGTAAAAAGGGCAGTGTTGACCATTGAATAGTAAACAGACAAAGCTGCTTATTGGGACGGAGGTAGTTGTCAAATCTCCCCTTCCCTTCCCTTCTCTCTGAATTGTTATAACCTCACCTAGGTAATATTCCCCAGTGTACCACCAAGCAGTTTTTGTGTCAATTGCTTTATTAAAACAATGGGGTATAACCCTCTGACTAATTCAAGAGTGGTACTTTCAGGGAAAACCTGTAAAAGAGAAACAGACTAAGGAGCTGGATTGGAAGCAGAAGATCAGCAAAGGGATAACGGATACAGGCGAGACACTGAAGAACCATATCGCCACGGCATCTTACAAGTTAAGTGATTGGTGGAGAGCAAAGAAGGAACAAATGGATAAGAATCACAAGTCTAGTAGTAAAACTGAGCTGTAGTTGTGATCTTTGTTAGGATATATAGAACAACACACACATACTCAATGAGCTCCTATTACTGTCACTAGGATTTGTAGTGGAAACTTGAATGTTTGGATGAGGAATTAAACCATGAAAGAGTAGAATACTTTACAAAATACGAATTCCTGGGCAAAATATAGTATAGTTATAAACTATATAATGCAAATATGAATTCGAGATTTTCTTCATAAGTTTATATATATAGAGCCAACTTGGGTCCCTGCCCTATTTTACGAGAATCATAATCGGAACAAAGATAATTGGTGTTTGTTTCTGGTTCATCTGGTGGATCAATGAGTAAAAGTTATTAGAGGCTGAATAATAAATGGAGTACATACAGGGGAAAATACTTTAATGAAATATTAGATGGAATAGAAAATTTGTAGTACAAAATTGTTTGAAACTAAGTAAAGTACGTACGTAGTATATTACAATATTAAGAACCCCTAATAAAGTCGATTATTTTTGAAAGTGATTTATTATAGTTTCATTTGTGACTTGTGATTGTTTGAAATAATTCTCTCTTTTTTTAAAACAAACTAGATAGTAACTCAAAAATGGATCACCGATCTTATTACTCAAATTAGTCATTCTAATTAACTTCATAAGGCATTCATGTACTATTAAAAAAAATTCTACTTGAATGTATCAATGTTGATAACACATTCATAACGGTGTTTTATTCAAAAATTTGTCCATTAAGTTTGTTAAATGAAAATGTAAAATTAAGACTAAAGTGTCATTACTTTGAACCTATGTTATGAGAACCGGACCGGACCTACAAGCATTTGTTAGGAAAAGTCTAGTAGTCTACAAGATGCGCAAGAAGAGACTAAGAGCAGTTTTAAGCAGTTTTTGGGGAAGATTTTTTGCCATTTTGGGTTGGTTTTTAGAATGACTTTTTACATGGTTTGAGCAAACTTTACCTGGATTGTCTTACATTTAGGCGGTGGTGGCTACTGTTCTATTGCATTTTCTTGCTGCAACTTGACTCGAGAGCAAGTTATTGGGCAACTCATCTATTGCATTGCCTGGTTCATCAACAAAAGTCTCTAGGAGTCTGGAGTGACGTCTTTGTTGCCGACACATGTGATTTGTCATTTTTTAAAATCATTATCATCTCAAACTATGAAAGAAGCAATAATATCAATAGAGCATATTGGTATATGATGAAAAACCATATTAAAAATGGAAATGCGTCAAATGTTCTTAATTAGTACGGAGTAGTTTTTAAAATATCAACGCCACATATTGATACTGCTCATACGGATGAAAACCCATATTAAAACAGAAATATGCTCAATGTTCTTAATTACGGAGTAGTAGATTTCAGAATGTGACAAATATTCTTTCAAAAAGGACAAGATTCAAAGGCAATTGTGGGAAACCGTAAGAGTTTTTCTCATGTCTTCTTTTTATGCATGCACATATGTATGTTGTGGTATTGAGTGTGACAAAATCGTTTGGCTTGAAGTTTGTAATATGTGATGATGAAAGAATTTAAAAAACTACAAAAATGTTGTTTGCAAAGTCTTCCATAATATGTAATTCGTATATGTTATTATTTATTTACGATTTCTCTATTAGTGTGATAAATAATACTAATATGATTTCTAAGTGCTTTATAATTAACATTTATAATAGGTGTATATTACATCCCGTGCAATACACGGGTGAAATATTAGTATCGTTTTGAAGTTTGAACCATATGTCCGAGAACACATATACCCTCTTTTATGGAACAAATAAACCCTCAAAATTTATACTAGTCGTATAAGAAAGATAAAATCAGGGATGAAATTGCATAAAAGCAATTGCTAAACTTGAGCAATCCCTGGATGGGATACCAAGCCAGCATCCACTTCAATGGTCGATATTTTCCCCCCTATAACAAACATTTTTCAATTGCAAAAACATTTAGAAAGACCAACATATTTTCCTGCATTACACCACTCCAACTCCACCATGAGATCATTTTTGTATATCCGCAAGGGGACGGTGTCAAATATGAAATGGCGCGCTACACTTCATTAGACTGGGTGTGGTGATAAGAATGTTAAGGTTGCTAGGCCATCTTCCGAAAGCGACGTGCCACTACAATGCCCGGGGATGATGTAAAATATGCAAGGGCATGGTGGGAGTCAATGTGGTGTGAAGAGAGTGAAAAACCCTAGCCGCTCTATTCGCCCAGATTGTTAGTTCGCATCTTCTTCTTTGCTTAAATAATGTCGAAAAGTGGTTTGATGCTCGCATGAAAGGACTTTTGTTCCCTAGTGTGTCTAGGGTTGCTATTTAATTGCTATTGAATACACTCTTCTAAACATAGATCTACTCTTCTCAGAAGTCATCTTTTTTCTCAAATCGTCTATGATGTTATCGATGGCTCTCCCCCTTCTGAACCACCACCAATGATTGGAAGAGAGATTCCATTGACGTACTGTCGAGCGCGACATATCTACAGATATACTAAAATCACGTGAGGGCGTTACAACAACATGATTGGATAAGGATGATTAGTTTCAACCGTATTTACAATTTACTTATTTATGCACTTTTTATTACTTTTTGTTCATCTGTTTTAATTTTTTTTAGAGATATGAGAGCCTTGAGAGGTCTCTCATATCATTTTAGAAACATAGAGATCGACATGATCAGATTAATGTCCCATTTGTCTGTTAAATGGTTGGCGAGTTTTGCAACTCATTTGTGAGTGATTAAGTGTAAGTCTAATCATTAGGGTTCTGATTGGAGCTGCAATTATCGTGACTATTGTAATGATGTTTGATTTATTCTTTAATATAAGCAGTTTTCCATTAAAAAACATAAGAATGGTAGCACAAGCACTACATACCACAACACACACTTGTCTAGTTGTTGCTCTCAAATGTAGCTACTTGCCCAGTCTTCTTGCCATTCTAGCTTCTAGGCAACCCAATTCTTTTATCAGAATAGGCGCCAAAAGCTCATAAAATGCATATGAATCGTAAAATTTTTTCTGAACGAATGTAAGATTATCACAACCATTCTGAGGTGAGGGTGTTGTCACTCAGTAAGAAATATATAAGGCAAGTTAAATATCAAGTAGAGCCCAAGGTAAAGTGGTGGTGGCTCGAGGGATCTCCAACAAAATTTTACAACAAAATGATTGGTGAAGATGTGTTGTATAGTGATAATTCCGTATATGTGAAAGATGTTTGATTATCAATGGAGTACACAATTAACAAAGTGACAAATGAGATATTTGGAGAATGTAAAGAATGCCTCTCATAAAAAAAACATATTTGTGTTTGATTATCAATGGAGTACACAATTAACAAAGTGACAAATGAGATATTTGGAAAATTTAAAGAATGCCTCTCATAAAAAAGATACATATTTGTGAAATGATGATGTGAAACTAGCCATAAAGACAAAAGAATGCTATAAAAATTTGGTGAGTAGTTGGAGCGATGAGAATAATTGGGGTAAAAGAAAAGCTAAAACGCCGTGAAAGAAGCACGAAAGAAAGTGAACAAAGATTGTAGGTGAAATTGAATTCTAAAGGAGAAAATCTCTAATTTAGATCCCAAATCTCTAACTTGGATCTCGAAGAGGTAGAAAAGTGAACAAGTGATAGGTATCGGGAAGGAACTTTCATGAAATTAGTAAATGTCAAGAGGTAGAAAAGTGAACAAAAGTTCTGCAACCCACGTTCTTTATAAGTAAATGGAGCTTGACAGAGTCGAAGGGGTTACTAAAAATGATTAAAAAAACCATAAAATAAGTTTACAATGAGCTAAAACAAAAATAGAAAAATGATTACAGACGAAAAATATATTTACGCCAAAAACAATACTACGTATTACTTTGAAGTGTAGACTCAGCTCGCCCCGCTTATATAAAACCAGGTTTGAGCTTTGGCTGTAGGTATATACACCTCAATGATACACAGGAATATCTGATACACTCAGAGGACGACTCAGAGAACAATCCTGTATATCTGAATATCTGATCTGCACATATATTCAAGAAAGCCTGGCAAATAATAAGGGAAGTTAAATATCAGAAAAGGACATTCCCCTCACAGTTGGTTCATCCTAAGAGTATGTAGCCGGGCGGCGAGAGAGTCATAGTCGGGAAGCTTTGGATGAACATGACTAACATACTTTGAGTTCTTCCCAGCTAATGAATTATCACTCGAACCTGATGCCTCCCCGGTTTCATGGCCGGAATGAATAGCGGGTTCACCTACAAAACCCGACTTATAATCAGTCGGTCTTTCTGGCTTAACTTGAGAGCTAGACAGATTTTTCGTTTCTGAACTAACAGATGAGAGCTTCGTCCTTCGAGAAAATTGAATTCCCAGTTGGTTTCTACCGGTGAGCGATGATTTTCGAGGAGAGGGCACTTCAGAATCGCTACTGTCTGAATAAAAAAGAGCAGCCTTTGAGCCTCTTAAGCTAGACTTATTGTGTGTATCTGACTCATCTTTGTAGCTTAAGATCTCCTGAGAAAATTCTTCATCAGAACTGTCAGAGTCCTTATCCGAATGGGAGGAATTAAGCTTACTTTTCTCCAAACTAGAAGAGTTCTCAATATTATGAGAAGGAATAGATTCTGGCTCCCAAAGAGGGACCTCTTTGGATTTGTGGATCGAAGGGACACTGTTCTGACCAGCTCTCATGAATGGAGGAGGGATCATATGCTTATGCCTAAAGCCACCTGTTAACTTTCCATAGTTCAATTCCTGACCATAATTGGTACCAGATCGAGTTATGTTCCCATCATCTTTAGTACCACTGATCATTGATTCATTAGACGAAGTATAATGCAACAGTTGTGTCCTATCCATTCGAATAACTTCTCCCATGGAAGATCTTTCTATATCATCTCTTTCAGAACTCTCACCATCTGAATCATCAAACGTTGTTGGAACAAAAAAGTCTGCCTCTGAGTTCTCTGTGGCTCTTAAATTTCGAGGGGACTTGGAAGGTGAATGTATTTCCATGAAAAATTGTTGTGTTGGAGTCTTCTTCTCAGGAGAGTCATTCATGTTCATACTAGGACTCCAAGAATCAGAAATGGCAGAGGAATATGTTGGTAATTTTACTTCAGGTGGTGATGAATGGTCAAAGGTGGACTGGTGGTCATCATCATCATCATCATCATACACAGGACCTGTACCAAAAATAGTATCTTCACTATTATCATAATGGTCTGAATTTGGTTCATCAGAAATTGCAGAGGATGCACCATGAGACTGCATCTGCACATTTACTTCCCGAGGATTCCCTTCTTCATCACTAATACAAAGATTCTCACTGGCTTCATATATAAAGTTTTGGTCACCCGAGTTTTGAATGTGATCAATGTGGGTAAAAGTGGTTGGATGCAAAGAGTAAGGAACATTTTGGCGCTCTTCTGTAGTTTTTTCATCCGCGAAGCAGTTGAAGTTCTCATCTTCAGGTTCTGAATCACGAGATTGGCTGGCCACTTCCTTGACTCTTTTCTCCCCCCATATATCTTTTTCATGAAGACTATGCACTATGTTGTCATCAGTTATTACAACTCTTGACCTTGAAGAAACAAATGCATTTCGTATCTGTTCACTATCCTGATCTTGTAGCATAGAACTTTGACTAGCAATGTGTTCGCTAATATTATTCGAAGCATATCTATTTCCCATTTCTTTATCTCTTGAAAGTCTAGCAGCTGCTCTAGCAGCCTGACTTGCACGTTCTGCAGATTCAGCAGCAGCCTGTGCAGCAGAGGCAGCATCCTTAAAGTCCATGTTCCAATTCTGCCTATCCAAATTAAATGTTTCATTCTCAGAAAGGGAGTTCCTGGCTTCTGACCTATGACCTGCAGTGCGACGAATGAGTAGTACAAGATCCACGAGAATCCAAGATTGAACTCTTAGGATGAAACTTTAATTCTTAATCTGATATCATATCTAATTAAGCTCAAATGAAAAAAGAACGACTAAAAAAAGTATAAGGGTTTCAAAATTGGTTAAAAATTCTAATCAATTTAGAAGAAATTGAGTTAAAACTATTTTTCCTATTAAGTTGATCTTTTAAGATGGCACCACAAATCTTAATAAAAGTACCTGAATGTGTCTCTCTGAGTTGAGAGGAAGAAGAATACACTTTGCCACTAGTACTACCTTGTGGAGAAGCAGAATTATAAATTCCCATTGAAGATCCTGAATTCATTTCGGAGACATTTGGAGACGTATAATACCCCTGATTATGAATAGGGTTAGTACTGGCGTCCCCAGAAAAATGAGGGTGCTCTTCATACATCTTACTGGCTTTCTCAAAACTGCTTGGTCCATTCTGGTCATATGGATCAGATATATTCATTAGAGGCTTACAAAAGAAGTTCAATTTAGTTCTGCCTCGAGATACTGATGAGCTATCAAAAGCAATATAATTATACCAGCAAGTCATTGGGAGGTAAGTCTGACTCTCCAAATGATTCAGGATCGAATTTAACACCTTGCTCCTCTGCAATAGCTGCCAATATTTTTAGCTTGGTTTGTCCATCGAGCACCTTTGCTGATAGCTTCTCCACTAGCTGACACAAAACAACATGAAACAATGTTTAGTTGCTGATAAGCAGAAGGAATGATTTACATCAAAATAGAATATGCAAATGCTAAAAGGAGTAAAGATGAAGAGAAGATCACAAGCAATATGAGCTTACAAGGCGGCTGACGCCAGAATTAGGACGCAACTCAATTGCTGCATTGATGAATTCTTTCCCATATTTTGCAGTAAAATGCTTCCGAATATCTATAAGTTCTTGCACATCTCCACATCTTGGTGATGCGAAAACTACGCTTGTAATGGCTTCCTTCAAATCCATGGGGCAGTTTCTGTACATCCAACAATGAAAGAAAAGCTTCATCAAAATGTAAGACTTTCTGGCGATGATGCAACCATATGGACATCCATGGGGCAGTATATCTTAAGAATGCATCTCGCAACCATATGGACATCAATATAAAATGTAAGACTTTCTGGCGATGATGCAAACCATACAACCAGATTGCCAAAATTACTTACTTTTGTGATTCAATGATTTGCAGGCGTGCCACGATAAGCTCACAGTATATCTCTATCAGATCATATGCAGCAATGTTCTTTTCTTCCGTAACCACATGCTCAACCTGATAATTTTGTGTAGAAACGAAAAGAGCATTACAGACGGGAACCACGATATCACATTACCCTAAGCAAAGAAAATTCATAAAGACAAGACAAAGAAGGATGAAGAAGGAGAACGTAGCAACCAAAACTTTATAATTCATAAACACATTGAAATGAGGTAGCAGAATTGATCAATTTAACTTCAATAGCCTTTTACCCCCAAATCATGGCATATTTAAAACTATTCACAAGTATGTTGGTTGCACGAGTATCATGATCTGGAGACATTATCTTGATCGGAGATCAAGATAACATTGATAGATTCTCAAAAAAATAATACAATGAGCAAAACTAGACGATCGCGGACATTCAACACCAGTTAATTCAACTGCATACGTGATCTGTAATCCGTCAAGATTGTCATAGTTGGATTCCACAACATCACAGTCTATTAAATGACAGAGAGCAGAAAGTCTGAAAGAAAAACACAAATAGTGCTATAATTACGCGAATTAGAGCCGTTTGATTCTGCCTTGATTCAAGCAGCTGTGCGAGTTCCCTCTTCATCTGCTTGACTTGCACTTCTTTCTTGTTCCTCAATATCTTCAATCTCGAAGACGCTAGCTTCAAAGATGTCTTACTGCATCATTATTTTGAATTCAGTTCCACACGATAGCTATTGCATAAATATATACCGCATCATCATATAAGGTCATCTGAATCAATCAAAGAATTACCATTTAGCGGGATTGAAGCTTTTCGTGAGCGCATCTTTGGAACTTCTCAAAAAATTGCTCGATTTCTTCATTGTCCGAAAATTGAAAGATCGTATGTTCGGTATGTATATAGTTCTGCGAACTGGACAGAATTGAAGTTTATCCCTGGTATATGTTGGTTGTATATTGATGAAAAATCAATACCAATATTAGATTGACACGGCAATAGGTCGGTTTTCTGATCAAGTTTTAGCTGAGTCCATGAGGAAATTGAATAAGATTTCCGGGAAGATACAGGATTAGTGTTCGGACTTCGGATCAGGACGGGTGGAATTTGTTCCCATGTGCGAAAACGTGTCCCAATGAATTCGTACGGTCTTGTTTGGTAGAAATACAATAGAACTGTACACAGGCGGCAAAAAACATACGAGTACACACACAAATGAATTAAGAATGTTTTTACTTGCATGTTTTCCATCCCTAATCACATCAGACCAAAAAATGATCAAACTAGTTCTGATCAGACCAGACCAAACCAATTCTGATCAGACCAAACCATTTCTGATAAGACCAAACCATACTTTGATAGTTATAAAATAGACAGAGACCAGACATTTACCAGATCATACCAGAATAGTTCAGATTAGACCAGACCAACAAATTTCAGTTCAAGTAAAAACATCCTAATTAGGGAAATTACCCTAAGAATGTTTTTAATTGGAAGATTTTCAGCCCTAGACCAGACCAGACCAGACTTTCATAGTTATAAAATACACAAAGATCAGACATTTACTAGATCGGATTAAACCAGTTCAGACCAGACTTAAACAGACCAGACCAGACCAGACCAACAAATTTCAGTCCAAGTAGAAACATCCTAAATAGGACTAAAAACGTTTGTATATTTCAAAATAGGACTATCATCTTTTTATTCCCAAAATAAGACTAATTACTGTCATATTTTTGGCAGTACCAGACATTAAACATTACAGTTTTCCCAAACATGACAGTAATTACTCATATTTTGTAAATAAAAAATATGATAGTCCTATTTTTGGAAATTTCAAAGTTTTTACTCCTATTTCGGGAATTTTCCTAATTAATTAATATAAAGCTTTTTTCACCACGTAGTAAATTTTAGTTACTTTTTTTAAAGTAAACTGGCATATATTAATTCAACTCGTCATTCTCCGATTGGAGTACAATACTATCAGTGGAAAATCATAACTCAAACTACCATCCGACACCGAAAGGACAACCCGTGCCAACGAGTTAACCTGTTTGCGGATCATTTACAATGAATGATCTCTAAACTACCTTCATTGTGAAGAATGTGTCTAATATCATCAATAATTGTGTCAAAACAAGAGTTCACTTATCACTCTATGATGCTTGAGAGTTGAGACCATTACTAATGAATTTGTCTCTAGTTTCACATGTGCCCATCTTTGTTCTTTGATCCATGCAAGAGTTTCCCGAACCCCTATGGCTTTTGAAACCGATGCATTCCAATTCGCTTGAACTATTCAACTGCCACCGGCTACAAAGTTCCCATTTGCATCCTTGGCCACCCAATCCCATGAACGTGTTCAAGCAACCACCGGCCTCCTCCATCTTGGCGCCATCTCCACGGGCTTTTGCACGTTCCTCTGTCGCTGCGCCTCCTGTCAATTTTTCAGCATTAAAAATTGTCCCACAATTTTCCGCCAGCCCACTACTCTATTCTTCCACGTTTTATCATTGCGTGCGTCCCAGACTCCATAGAGAGAGACAACAAAGTTGTTGAAAGCTTCCTATTGCAAGTTTTCAAAGAAACACTGAGCTTGAGTAGTGGATTGCTCCACATCCCGAGTTGCCACCTCTCCTTCCACATAGAAATTGTTCGGCCATTTCTAGCCTTTTTATGCAAGCCTCTGCCCATCATCTCCTGAGCTTGACTAACACTGCTCCATACAAAAGATGGATTGCTCATTGGTTTGACCTGCAAAAATAAGTTATTAGGAAAATATTTAGTTTTAAAAATTCTTCCCACTAGCTACTCAAGTTCTTTAATCAGTCTCCAAGCTTACTTCCCCAACATTGCTATATTGAATTCCCTGATAGAACGGTAACCCCAAACCTGCTTTGTATTTAGGTTTGCATAGAGCCTACCAAGTCTTTCAATGGATATCCCTTCTGGTCTGATCCGATCCCCTGACCAAACACCGTTCATAATGGTCTCTATTTTTGAACATGTTTCTCTCTCGACAAGAGAAATACATTCATAGCGTAGGTTAGCATTTTAACATAATTTTGCACTCTGCTTTGGATAAGAATTTATTCCTCCAATACTAATTCTATTAATTATATGCTCCTTCAAATACCATAGTATATCAATCTTCTTTCTTCCAACTAATGCCGGCAAACCCAGGTAGCACGGTCTGCCTTTCTCATTGTTAATGCCCAATATATTGCAAATGAATTCTCTGGTGTCATCCCTTTTTTGGAAATACAAATAAAATTTATAATTACATGAAAGGAAATGAGAAAAAGGAAAGCAAGAGAACATTAAAAGAAAAGAGAAAAAATAGCCCAACCCAAAGTACACTAGAAATCCTTCCCCAAAACCCTAAAGTTCAGTCAAGAATCAATACTCCATTCGTGTTTGGGATCTAGTCCTCCAGGTTCGGTCCTGACATTTTTTAGGCTCAAGGCAATACAAACAGAGTAGGCCTCAGGGATACCGTGTAAATATTTATAATAAATTTTTGTTATAAAAATATATAGTAAAGTTAAACAATTTTGTTATTCAAATACGAGTATAACACATCAAAGAAATCAATAAAGCAGTTAAAATAGAAAATTTTTATTGAATTATTTTATATGTGACATTTGAGGATACAACATACCTAAAACGTCAGATTGAAACTAGTACAACTATTAGTTGCAATAAAGAATTTTGAATAAGGTAAATATAGCGTGAAAGATATATTGTGCATATACGAAGTAACTTTTTCATATTTTAAATAAACGGCAAGTTTCTAAATCATGAATACTATAGTTCAATATTTCACTTAAATAAACTAATTAGAGAAAATTAGTGAAATGCTATCAACGAATCATGAGTATAAATGAGAGAAGTAGACCAAAAGAACATTTATGCGCTAAAGCATAATGAATTAAAAGAAATGATGAAGTATGTTTTCAATGAATTCTAATGTGGACGTTTTAAAAAATGAATTGGAAGTATAAAAAAATTAGAACTTTGATTTTATTTTTTATTTTTTTTATAGATTGTTGTGTATATAATTAATATTAATATATATCCATATACACATAATTATGAAATTTATGGGCCCTAGTAGAGCAATGGGTCCTGGGCGCATGCCCCAGTACCGGCTCTGTAGTCCTCATCCCATGCGATCACTGATACTTCTTCCTATACATCTTAATTTGAGTGTTCAAATTCTCTGTGGGAAGATAGTTATCTCTCGTCGCCAACAAAGCTATGTTGCAGATATCATGATTCGTATCTGAATCCCAAAGATCCTCCTTTGATGAAATATGGGCTCTCTTCTCACTATCAGATGCATGACCTAGAAAATCTCTGGCATCATCCCTTATATTCGGGCTAAACATTATATCACTGATGACATTTGATAGTTAACATGTTGTCCTGACCTCTCCTCATACCACTGGAGTATATGTTTGATCGTCAGACATTCTTTTTCACGTGCCTGAAAAAAGATAACTATCATCTGCAAAAAGTAAATGGGACACTCTAGGTGCTCGTTTAGCCATTACAATTCTTAAAATATTGCACATACTCTCATGTCTTCTTATTAGAGCACTAAACCCGCCATCAAAATAAAAAGGTAGGGAGATAAATGGTCTTCTTGTCGCAACCCTCTCATCAAAATAATTGGACCAACCATATCAACCTCAAAAGGAATGTAATACTCCACAAAAGAACAACACACCATGATTAAATTAACTCATTTAAAAAAAATACTTTCTCCGTTCATTAATTCTTGCAACATTGTGATTTTTGCACTATTCACAAACCTTACTTTGACCACGATTTTCTCCTAATATACATAATCAAGTTATTACATATAAAATGTTATTGAATTCCTATCAATGTGAATTTCCAAAATATCAACCTTTTTTAATGTTTACTACGTAGTAATACATAATTAAATATAATTACAGTCAAAGTTGTGCATTGGAAAACATGAAAGTCAAGTTGTTGCAAGAATTAAAGAACGGAGGATAGTACATGATTTTCATTACACACTCTAGGTAGCTCCATTCTACCCTATCATATGCTTTAATTTGCTCATATCTAACTTCAGCGCCACAAAACAATCTCTACCTTGCCGCTTTTGCTTCAAATAATGGAGTGTTTCAAAGGCCACCATCACATTATCCACTATAAATCAACCCGGTATAATGACACTTTTATTCACAGAGATTAAATGGTTTAAAAATTAAAATAACTTTTAATTTGGTAGCCAAAACTTTAGTGAAAATTTTATCAATCAACACATTACATAAAGTGATTGGTCTCCAATCCCCTAAAATTTCTAGTCTTTTTTGAATCAAGACTTATTGAGTTCTGTTAACCTCTTCTGGTATTCCCCCACTTGAAAATAGTTCCTGACAATACCTAATAATATCCTCTACCAGAATGTCTAAGTAATGCTGGAGGAAGCCCAGATTCAACTCATCCGCCCCTGATGCTTTATCCGGGTGCATGGCAAAAACAGCTTTCTTCACGTCTAGAGCTGTAATTAGGCGAATTAATTCTTGATACTGAGTTGCATTTACCTGTTTTAAAACCTATCAAGGTGATCTCCATGTCGCCAAGTTGTTGTACATAAATAATTCGATGTAATAATTGTGAATCATCATCCGCAATTACCTTTATCCCTCTGCCATTCGCCGGTTGGGAGCAACAAACCTTTCAGTTTGTATCTTCTTTGTGTTGCTTAACTGCATTGTGAAAAAAATTTAGTGTTTATGTCCCCATCTCTAAGCCAGAATTTTTTGGCCCTTTGTTTCCAAAAAATATTTTATTTTCAAAGGAGGTCTAATAGAACATTTTTAACCCTTTGAAATTCTGTTGCGTTCCAGCATCCTCCCTCCTCTCGTAAACAAGCCAATCTATTTTTTCATATTTCTATCCTGGTCTGGAAACCTACTCGACGGTGCTTGCTCAATCGCTCCACAAGTCTAGCTTCACGCCCTTGATCTCATTAACAGGGCTGCTAAAAACTTCTTGTTTCTTGCACAAATCATACATGTCAGACTAGGGGTGGATCGGTCCTGTCACGCCCCGGACCTCCCCGGACACGTCAACAACCCGCCGTACAATACGAATAGTCA